GATAATACTTGTTTAAGTCCTACGATTTAGGAGAGACTTCATCCTCCCAGGCCACTTTATCGCGAGGTCATCCTGGATCTGCAATAGGATGTGCCCGACAGTGGCATTGAGGGGACTGAAGGTCTGTCGATCTCTCTAGGGAGCAGGACTGAGCCGGTCTTTGGCAGGTACCCTCTCTATCCTACTACTGTTGCGCTTGTTATTATTGTCCTTCTTGTCATCCCTGTCTCTTTCTTTTCTTTTCTTTTCTCCCCAACTCTGGAAGACTCACCTCGCTTGACCCTTGTAATGTCCTCAGCATTTATATATTTTTTAGCCTTCGCTAGTAGTTCTGGCATACTCTTCGGTGGGCATTTCATCACCGAGAAAAGGAAGCTTAACGATCGAAGGCCTCCAAGGAAGGTGATCATGCTGACCTTATCATCAGGCTCCTCAACCTGAAAGACCTCCTCGTTAAAACGAGTGAGGTATCTCCTCAAGCTCTCATCTCATTCCTATTTTATGCTGAGTAGATGGATGGCAGGCTTCTGGTGGCGGCGTCCTCCAATGAAGTGTAACACAAAAGACATGCTCAGCTCAGCAAATGTGCCAATGGAGGCTAAGGAGAGTTTGGCAAACCATTGCCGAGCGGATCCCTTCAAGGTGGTTGGGAATGCTTTGGACATGATCTCGTCGGAGCGTTATGCAGCTGCATCAAGGTTTTAAAAGTTTCAAGGTGGTCCAGTGGATCCTTCGTACCGTTAAAGGTCTCGACGGAAGGCATCTTGAATTTTTGAGGGAGCGGATAGTTCGCCACATCAGGTTTGAAAGGTGTGTCAGTTCGACTTACGAGGTAGTCTACTGTCTCGGGGCCCTGCACCTTCATGGCGTTGAAGACGTCACCCAGCTGATTTTTCACCTCTTTAATTTTTTCATCCCATTGATTGGGAGAAGGTACTCTGGAATTACCACGAAAATAGCTCTCATGCTCCATGCTTTAGTTTTCACCCTCGTCCTCTTGGAGAGGAGGGTCTCCACCATAGTGAGCCAGAGTAGGAACTAGAGGAGGACCCTCATGGTGAGCCCCCTGTGTGGGGCGCCCAAGGGAACTCCCAAAGGGGGGGCATCCAGGGGGGCGGCTGGATGGGGAGCGCCAAGGTGAGGAACTCCTTGATAACCGGGGAATGGAACTTCCCTGGCCTGAGGTCCAAGTTGTGCTCCTCCTTGTTGTTCGATCATTAATTGTAGAATTTGTTAGTTTTGGGCTATGAGCTGTTGCATGGTCTCCAGCATCTACTGCGCATTTGGGACTGGATTGGGTGGAGGATCAACCTCTTCCTCTCGTGGTGGAATGTCTTCAGGCTAATTCATGGATCTGGTGGTGATCGCCTTTGATTCAGCAAAAAAAATATTTAGGTGAGAATTTTGTCGTTCCCACAGACGGCGCCAAACTGATGATGCACAAATTAGCTTGCACACCACTAGTCAAGTGAGTAGTTTAAAATGCAATAAAATAAGTAGAGGAAGAAAGAGAACAAGGTTTATAGTGGTTCGGTCAACAAGACCTACGTCCACTTTCAATGGCTAAGTCCGCTGAGAATTTTATTAACTCCGGTGTGTTGAGAGAGTAGAGAATTACAAGAGAGAAGAGAGGAACTTTGATTTTGTGATATGCCCCCCAAGTGTTGGGGGAGCTTACAATTTATAGTCATCTGCGTAGTAATTGTATAACTAGTCTGACGGTCATAGTTGGGGCCATTTAATAATAATTAAATCCCTCGGCGACTTCTCCTCTCCTCGATCCCTCCTCTCCTCAACCGGCAAGGATGTGGGAGGTTGATTATTTCCAAGCTACAAGGATGACCTCTCCTCACCTGATGCTTTCTTAGTGGTGTAGCTCCCTGATGGGCTTGATTGGGCCTAAGTCTCATTGGGCCTGCTGGATCTTTATAGATTTGGACTCTTGGAATCGGGTCATTAATTTAGACCGAGCTTATAATATGAGTTGAGCCCTCGGACTTGAACCATCAAGGTTAGTTCTCAAATTTCGGAAATTGAAGTCGCATTGGATGATGAAGTTCAAAGTATATCCACTCAAACTGGTATCATTACTAGAGCTCGCTCTAGGAAAATTTCCCAAACTCCATTATTTAATGATTAATTTCATATCTTGGAACATTAGAGGAGCTGGTGCCTCTGATACAGGAAGTCGTTTGAAGAAAATAATAAAGTTTAATGATGTATGCTTGGTTTCTATATTGGAGCCTAAACAGAATCCGGTGAAGCTGCCCGGATTGTCTACGAGCTTGAATATGGGTTCTTTTTCAGCAAATCCTAAGGCAGAGAAGATTATGTGGTTACTTTGGGATCATAGAGTAAAGTTGGATGTTCTGAGTCTAACAGCTCAGGCTATAACTGCTCAAGTTTCTTATTTGGGATCACAGCCATTTATTTTGACTGTGGTTTATGCTAGTTGTGATTATTTGTTAAGAAGGCCTTTGTGGGATTACTTGATAAATTTGAACCTTTCTTCTACCCCATGGTTGCTAATGGGAGACTTCAATGCTATACTTACATCTTCTGAGCGGATGGGTGGGGCTTCTCCAAGTTTTCTCTCCATGGATGAGTTTAATACGTTTATGCATTCTGCTGGTTTGATAGATCCTGGATTTAATGGAAACAAGTTTACATGGTGTAATAATCATCATGACAATACTAGAATGTGGCAGAGAATTGATAGGGCATTCATCAATTCAGAATGGGGTTTGAATTTTGCTTCAACAGAGGTCAGTCATCTAGCAAGGGGTAATTCAGATCATAGTCCGTTGCTTATTACTATTGCAGAACAGAATATGCAGCAAAGAATTTCATACTTCAAGTTTTTGGATATGTGGGTCGAGCATCCATCTTTTATACAGCTGGTTCGAAATAAATGGGGTCCTAGAGCTGAGCAAGAGATGGATCTGAATCCTTCAGGTCCTAATAAGCAGGCTATATCCCATGCTCAGTCTAACCTGGAGGAAACACTCAGATTGGAGGAAATTTACTGGAAGCAGAAGGCAAATATGAGATGGAATATGGATGGGGAGAGAAATACTAAACTTTATCATGCTATTGTGAAAGGCAAATCAGTAAGGAATAAACCAAGGGAAATCAAGAATGATGATGGAGTTTGTTTGACTGATAGTCATCAAATGGCTCTTTGTGCGGAGCAATTTTTTGCAAAGCTGTATACTTCAGAGCCTCATGACTTGCAGGAAAATCTCTTTTCTGTTATACCAGCTTTGGTTACTGCAGAAGATAATACAATGTTGACTGCATTGGCAACAATGGAAGAGCTAAAGTCTATTGTTTTCGCAATACCTGTAGAAAGTGCTCCTGGATCGGATGGTTTTTCCAGGAAATTTTTCCAAGTTTCATGGGAGATTATTAAGCATGATGTTCTTTTAGCTCTGAACTATTTTTTGAGAGGAGGAGCTATGCCAAGGTCAGTTAATACTACTCTTTTATCCCTTATTCCAAAAACGGACACTCCACTTACATTTTCAGATTTCAGCCCTATTAGTTTGTGCAATTTCTTTTATAAGATATTCACTAAATTATTGGCTACTAGAATGGGGGTTTTGTTGCCATCTCTTATATCCGAAGAACAACATGGTTTGTGAGGGGAGGAATGTGGGAGATTGTATCTCTATTGCACAGTTTATGGTGGATGAAATGGATAGGAAAGTGGAGGGTGGAAACCATATTCTGAAGCTGGATATGATGAAAGCTTTTGATAGATGAGAATGGGACTTCTTATTGAGAACTCTTTCTGCTTTTGGTTTTTCTAGTCAATTTGTCTTGCTTATTTCACGTTGTCTTGCGAATCAGCATAGTACTTTGGTTTTAAATGGCCAAAGGTATGGCTTTTTCCCAGTTACTAGAGGGGTGAGACAAGGAGATCCACTGTCTCCTAGTCTATGCATTCTGGCAAAAGAGGTTTTGAGTAGGGGTTTGAGGGATTTAGTTCACAGGGGCTTGGTTAAACATTTTCAGACAGGACGAGGCACTGTTATGCTAAGTCATTTATTATTTGCTGATGATACTTTAGTCTTTTTGAGAAGGGAAAAGCAATCCTTAAGGAATCTTCTTTCGTTTATTTCTCAATATGAAGCTGCTTCTGGGCAGAGGGTGAATTTGCAGAAAAGTTCCATGTTTTGTTCTTCTAAAATATCCCATGCTAGAAAACAGGTTTTGCAGCGTGCAGCCAAAATACCTGTTAGAAGTTGTCCATTTACATATTTGGGTTGTCCTATAATAAAGGGGAGAGGCCTAAATTGATCTATTTTGAAGATTTGATACAAAAGTTTAGGGCAAGACTTGAAGGTTGGTACTCTAAAATGCTATCAAATATGGGGAGGATTGTGTTGGTCAAGTCTGTTCTTAGTGCCATTCCTGTGCATATTTTAGCATGTTCTAATCTACCTAAAGGTATAATAGCCAGATTGAATTCAATTATGGCAACATTTGTTTGGTCAAATAAGCTTGATGTGAAAAAGAAGCATTGGTGTTCATGGCGTACTATCTCTGCCTCTAAGGATGAGGGGGGTCTTGGATTGAGAAGGTTTGAAGATATTGCAAAAGCTTTTAGAATTAAGCAAGTTTGGAATTTAATGCAGGCTCATACTCTATGGTCTAGGATTTTTTCATCAAAGTTCCTACACCAGCAGAGTGTTTTGAGAGCCTGTAGGGCATCATATGCTAGGAGTTATAGGCTCTTGTCCCCATGGTTTCATTTGGTTGCTTCAAATGCCAGAATGATAGTTGGTAATGGTTTAATAGTGGACTTTTGGTGTGATAATTGGACAGGAGATGGTCCATTAATTTTGAAGATTCATGAGACTCCACAGTCATTTCCAAAATTGTCTGAAGTTTATGTGGAAGGGCAATGGCTTTTTGATTCTTGTGGTGAATTAACTATTGAGTTAATGGCTGAAATAAGATTAATCAATGTCTCCTTTTGTCATAAGCAAGACTTCATGGTTTGGACTCTCACTTCTAATGGTATTTTTTCTGTGAAATCTGCTTTGGAGTTGGTGAGTGAACATGGGCAGCTGGATCCTACAGCAACTCTGATATGGAAACAAAAGGTCCCTCCTAGTGCTCAGCTTATAGGGTGGAAAATGCTTAAACCTGCATTGCCTATGGACTCCAACTTTATGGGAATTGGGGTTTCTTTAGCGAGTAGATGCATTATGTGTCTTCACCAATCAGAATCTGTGTCTCATTTATTTGTTCATTGTCAATATGCAACAGCAGTATGGTCTGCTATTTCAGCTGTTCTGGGTTTTCAACTCATTGAAGGAGAAGAGCCTTTAATAAGATTCAAAAGATTAGCACGAGTTTACTACAAACAGTCCCTCAGTCATGGTCTTCTCAGAGGTATTTCCCTTATCATTTTTTGGCAAATATGGAGGGAAATAGTAAGTAAGCATTCTTCATCCTTGGCTATTTAAATTCTTCAAATTCTCAAGCCTCAAAGCTATGTTATTAAACCAAAAGTTGAAGAGACAAGTTCAGGTATTGAGCTTCTGTCTTTTCTTCAAATGCACCATTCATCAGTTAGAACTAAGACTATATGGGTAAATTGGGTGTGTCCTCCTGATGGATTCTTGAAGTTAAATATCGATGGGGCGGCCAAGGGCAATCCAGGATGCTCTGAGGGAGGTGCAATCCTGCGTAATCAATGGGTACAGCTGGTAGTAGCTTGTTCTAACTTTTATGGTCTTTGCACAAATATGCAGGCCGAGGCTAATGCTTTACTGAATGGTCTCCTTCTTTATTATAAGTTTTGTCTGTCTGACTATGCATTAATAAGTGAGACTGATTCACAGTTGCTGCTGGATATGGTTAAGGGAAAGTTGGAATTTAGCTGGAAGTTAAGGGTGTTGTCTTATCGATTATTGGGTCTCCTGAGTGGTTTAAATTATGAGATTGCACATGTATTTCCTGAAGCAAATTCAGTTGCGGATTATTTGGCAAATATGGGAGTTCAAGATCGTCACGCGAAGGAGATTACTTCTGCTGCGATGCTCCCTTTTCAAGCTAGACTCTCACTTCAACAAGATCAGCCGCAGATCAAAAGCCTGCGTTGCAAAGATGTTTTAATTTCTGCAGCTGGTTTAATGAGGTCTCCTGCATCAGTTTAAACTCAATGATTGAATTCTTCTCTCAGCTGGATTCTTTGCTGACGTCACTATTCATGGAATATTTTGATTGTTTTCAGCTGGATTCTTGGTTCGGCTGGCCTCTTTATGTAACTACATCAACAGGGATCTTTTTCATCGACTGGAATACTTCAGCTGGAGTGTTAATGTTTCAGCTGGTGTCTTTCTGCTACATCTGCAGTGTCACTGGGCTGTTCAACAGGTTCTATTGCAGCTCGTTTTCTCAGCTGGTTTGGGGGCAGCGTGTTTCTGGCAGCATTAACTGTTCACGTGAACAGTTAATGCTGATTTTTGTTCTCCTTCAGCTGGACTGGAGTATCACTGGAATGTTCTCTTGCAGCTGGTTTGGGGGCATCATATTTCTAGCATCATTTACTGTTCATGTGACTCTTCACCTGAACAGTCACTGCTGGTTTTTGTACTCGATCAGCTTCTTTGAGGATCTCATTAACGATTCTTCTAGTTCTTTATTTTTGCCTTCAATCATGATTTGGAAGGCTAAGGTACCTATTAAAGTGCAATTGTTTGCATGGACTGCTGCAAATGGTAAGATTAATACTAATGATTTGCTTCAAAAAAGGAGACCTCAAACTAGTATTTCCCCTCAGTAGTGTGTCATGTGTAAAGGTAATTGTGAGAGCATTGATCACTTATTTCTAAATTGCCCTATTGCTTTGTCATTGTGGCATAAATTACTTGATTTGGGAGGATTGAAATGAGTGCTTCCTAAATTATCCATATCGTTGCTTGTTGGGGTTGAGAGGTTTTGGACTGAGTGATAAATGACCGACTTTGTGAAATGGCGCTACTGTAACTATTTTTTGGGTTATCAGGAAGGAAGGAAATTCAAGAATTTTTTAAGACCGAAGCAAAGAGATGGATGGTTTATAAAACCATATTCAATTTATTGCATCGTTTTAGGCTTCGGGTTCCAAGGAATTAAAGGGAATCCCATTTTTTATTCTAATGCCTGGATGGACAACTTCATGTTATTTATAAGCTTCTAATGTATTTTCTTTTGGGTTGTATTTTTGTTTTCCTTTGGTTGGCTTCTTAGCCAATCCTCTTCATTTGCTCTTTTATTTTAGAATTTAATGCATTTTCTCCATCTACTATCAGAAAGAAAAAAAAAAGTTTCATCTAGGATAAAGATGGATATAGGCGTCATCAGGCACAAGTGCATGCATATATGTAGGGGTAAAAACAGAAAAATGAAAGCGCAGAAACATGAAGAGTTGTACCAATTGCATATTCGAACTATTTGTTCCCAGGCTTTTTCCTTTTATCTTCATCCAAGACCTTATTTTACCCTGCTATTTGATGCTTAGGAACAAATGGCATCGGGATTTTCTGTATCACTTAGCCTAACATTCCTGATGCATGTCGTTTGGGTTTAAGCATTTTGGCAACTCTACTAACCTTATTCAGAATTTTGAACTTGCAACAGAAAAACTAAACACTAAACCTAAGCTTCTCTTCTTTTCAGTCCGTTGCTTGTGCCTCTATTGAGCTTATATGTAACTTTATGCCTCATATTGTTTGCAGTAATAATAAGCACTGATTCAATTGCATTAAGGAGCCGACGACACATCCCTTGATGCCTATACATGTGACGAGTCCCAATGAATGGCATCTCTGCTAATTGACTCCCATGTATCCTGTTTTTGAATGTAGCAGAACTTGTAACCGTCTGACAAATTAAGTAATTACAAAGGCACACGAATATCCTAAGGGGTAATTATACTGTTGGCAGGCATATTTGTAACAGCACCAAATAAATTCAGATCTGGGATCATCACATCAAATTGTACTCCATATCATACATCAGTGTAATTTACCCAAATTTTACATCTTACATCTGAAATCCACAGGATGTATGCCTTACAGCCTTTTATGGACAGAAGAACACCATGGACTTCTAGGGTGCAATCATACAACCACCAATATGCATCATCATGGATGAAGTAAAACAGCATTTTAAAATTAAGTTTAGTGTTTTAAAAGAGCATGCTATAAGGATGGGAAAAAACATCAGAACAAGCAGCCAGCCCCATGTTTGAAAGAATAACTGCACCAGCAGTACACCGTTAAATCTACTTTATATGGAAAAAAAGACTCCTGTGTTGCTAGAAGAATAAATTCTAATTCCTAAAATTGTATCCTTCAATAATTTCCAACTTCAATGGATAATAAATCTCCCAAATTTTTTAATCACAAAGTTCTTTTACACCACAAATTTGGTTCTGCTGCATGATGTTAACAGCTGAAACTCAAGTTCTAATCAGGAGGAGGGGATTGTAGTATCAAAACTGAAGTCATGGTTGTGGTACTAAAAATCACTATAGTTTAATAAACATATATTCAGAGGCAATTAAACCATAAAAAATTAATGATACGGTAGAAAGCTCAACAAGTAAAATTTGTAAAACAGGCAGGTACATGAACTTTATTACCATGGTCACAATGGTGAATATGATCCTATGATGACATCTACAAACCCAATTGAATTTCTCAATTTCTGAAGTAATGTATATCCACAGACAATATTTTCTCATCATGCTCTTAAAAGTCACGTAGTGGGACACAGTTATGCCCCAATACTCTAAAAGCTATGCATTGATGTAGATGATGCAAGAAATAACCTCTTATAGATGCTGCCGAGATAATTTCATCCCCCCTCTCTAAAACAGCCGTGTAGAAGCCACTGTAATTCAGCCGCCTAAAGTTTGACCTGGGAACAACTTTCAAAAAGTAACAACGATATTATAGAATCAAAATTTATCAATCACAGACGTATATCCAGAAAAATATACAGATATGGAATTACTTGTCATAATTAAAATAATGGGATACTAGAAGTCAAAGAAAAAAAATATCCCTTCATACATTGCTAATACACATAATGAAGATAAAAAAAAATACAAATAAAAAAAAATAATTAAAATTTTTTTTTTTTTAAAAAGATCAGGTACACCTTGGTAAACATTAAAAAAATATATCAAAGCATTACAAGGTGAGAAAGATACAAAGTATCAAAAACCAAGTGGCTAACATATGGTCAACTACGCAACTTCACCAGCTTGTGAGTCAATATCAATGTCAAATGCAAGAGCTTCCATAAATGAACCTTATAGTGAATGAATGATGATTTCCTCAAAATGTCAACTAACAAATGCCAGCAGGTTTTTAAAGATTTCAGCTTCATCTGTCAACATATATGCACTGCTTCAATCAGTATAGTTCTACAGTGCTTACCCACAGCTGTAGACAACATTATGAATCATACTGATCCCACTTCTCTCGTCAGTAACTGGCAGAAAGCACTCATCCTTAATAGACAATGCAACAGCTAACTTGGAGTTACATTCAACCTTTAGGGGAGCACCAATAAGCGAATTATCACCAATAACATCACAATGTTGAAGAAGAGTCCATGAAAATCCTTCTTCCAGTTCATGTTTGGTGCCCAGAAGAGCCTGTAGTCGCTCAAAGAGCTATTGAGCAGCAGATGGTCAATGCATTTCAGTGCGTCATGAGTAACAAATTATATTTCTTCTATAAAAGAAGCGTATTTAAGCTAGTCACTTAAAAATTAGATCTCTCGCATTATACCTGCTGGCAGTTCCTCCCACAAAAAGATGGATGTTTGGAATTAACATCTATAGCATCCTTACCCTGGATGCACAATTGGTGGACTGCAGCAGGCAAAATTTGTTATTATCAAGCAAAAACTACCCTTTTAAAGTGAAGCATAGAAAGCAACAGAGAAAGCTAGGACTACCCACACAATTTGAAATTTGGTGATGATCAAGGTACATACATTTTTCCTCACACAAACGGCATGAAAGCAGTTCATTCACACATGTATCATAATTATCATCCTTCTGAGAAGTGCTCCCATCAACTGTCCCGCAGAATTTGCATGAACAGTAGAGACATCGCCAATAACCACAAGAGAACTTCTGCAAATACCAAGAGAAAAATGAAAATGTCTACAAGAGTAAAGTACTTTGGCCAAGTCGTCAGCTTTGTCTAGATGGACAAACGATATGAACATGAACATTGACTTCAAAAATAAAAACTTCACTGCGATTGGAGGTTGCATAATTTATTTGACTGTATTTCTTAATATGTAAATTTCACAGCGATCAAATATAATTGCATTCTTGGGAAAGGACAGACCCAGACTTTGTCTAGGGCATCATTGATTGCAAACCCAAAAGGCAACCAAAAAAGGCGGGCTTCGAAAGAATGTCTACTAATTTAAAAAGCCTATTTCATGACTGTTGCAGTACATCTAAATGAATAAGCCTCAACACTGCTGGTGAGTGGCAATGCAAAAAGACTCACCCTTAGTACAATCCACAAATAAAGAATGATAAGACTCATGCACAATGTTTGCCATGTGCACAATAACAAGTACAAAGACAATTGAAACCACTTTTGAGAGAGAGAGATGAAATAGCAGAGGAAGGAGGAGGAGGTTATATATACGTACTTGGATGTCTAAGCAGCTTTGATGGAATGTTGACGGGCATCCATTGCAACAGATCAAGACACCACCATCTCCACAGATGTTGCATGTATCATCATTGGGGTCATCACCATCAGTATCCACAACATGGAATCCAATATTCTTATTCTCTTCTTGTTTACTCCATGAAACAACTAGGCATTGCATAAGAGAAACACCAGACTGTAAGTATACATTTTCAAATGGCTGATACAGTTGACATCCAGCATGTGACTCAAAATTTGAAATTCCAAGTATTTCATGACAGCAACCACATTGAATGCCGTCTCTGTTAATCTGTCCCTCAAGCAGTACTCTTGTCCTTATACTGTCCATATACTGCACCTTCCCACCAGGCAGAATGGTTCCCAAGTCAATCATTCAGGAAAGAAGACTGCGCTTCCCAGTATATTTCCCTTGTTCACAATGCAATGTGTTTCCTTTCATTTTTTTATTTGATGATTTATCACCTGGCCCTATGGCAGAATTAAGATTTCCTCTCACCTTCAAGCCTCCCATGCTGTTTGTAGAAGATTTATTCTTAAACAACTTCTTTCCAGTGATTCTTTTCTTAGTCTTCACTTTGATACCTTTCTCCATTTTCACTCGTGTCACCCTAAAAAGTTTGCTGAAACACCTCCTCCGGTATAGGAATAAAGGCAGAAATGGTCTTATTGTCAGCAACTCCATCTTCAACTTTCTCTTTAAGCTTCCTGTAGGCCAAGGTGACTGACCAGTAAGTTCTTCCTTCAGGATCGACATATACTGCATCGAGGTACTCTCTGCTTTGCCTGGGTCTATATTCAACAGTACATCCTGCTTTCTTAAGCATGCTGATTATCTGTTCTCTCACTAACTGTTTTTCTTCCCTACGCCCCACTTCTCCTTCTTTCTTGTGCTTGTTGGTTTCCAACTGCTTTCCATTAGCACTCCTCCCCACCTGATGTGAATGACTGGTTAGCCTGTTGCGCTGGCTCTGATTCTTTGGTCGATGACTCTTTCCCTTGGACCTTGTAACTTTTTCTTTCTCAACATTGATCACCTCTGAGGCCTTGTTACCACTATTTTTCTTGGACCCCATAACCTTTTCTTTCTCGTCACCAATCACCAGAGATACCCCATTTATCCACTTAACCTTGGGGGGCCTTCCGCGTTGCCCTTTTATTCTTTTCCATGGTCTGCCAATCATTCGAACATTTTCACCCTTTCCGCCATCAAAAACCTTTTCATCACCATTCATCGACATTGTCTTAGACCGCAAAACCCTTCCAACAACCTGCATCCTACCATCCAAAGACTCCTTGTTGACATTCTTTCTCCCAACCACATCATCCTCATTGCATTCAGAACTCAACACCAATCTTCTCTTCCTCATTAAAGCTCAATCAACTTGTTCTACTCATTAAAGGTTGTAGTTTTTATGAATGAATGAGTAGAACAAGTTGATTGAGCCTTAACTCTTACTGTTTGACGACTATTAACGCACTTCTCTTTCTTTTTTGTTGACAATAGTTGCTTGAAAAGTTAGTTCAACCCCAAGTCAACATGTCCCAAGTATTTAGGGTTAGCAAGATGGATCTTGTTTTCCTTGTGCTCTGGCTAGAGTCATAATTTGTACTAAAGCACAAGCTATAATTTCCCTTTTTAGTATTTCAGTTTACATTAACTTTGGTCTATTTCTATCCTTTATGTTACCATTAATAACTACGGCGTTGTTTTTTCTTACTGTTGCAGCTATAGTTATCAATTTTTGAATTGCACCGTGTTTTTAGGCATGAATTATTATTGCTAGTAAATATATATAATGTGACATGATAAAAGGGGTTTGGCGTGCATAACAACTATTATTATTTACATATCATATCGGTTAACCACCACAATCATGAATATTTAACCATTTTGTGTGGTGAAAGCTTGAAAAACAAAACATTCCTACAGGCTACAGTGAACATGTTTCTCAACCCCCATGCAGTACCCACCATGACCATGACCATGACCACGTCCTGATGTCCATGTGCTGAGAGTGAGAGGACATCTCGTCTTGGCTACTTATCCTACCCAATAAATCAACTTGCAATGGAGATGTATTTCTCAACAGCTCTTTTGAAAGTTACTATTCCTACATTTTCTGTCGTCACCGGAACATGTATTGTGCCAAAGGAGGAGTAGCTACCATATCAAAATTGGGAAGAAATACTATGTAACATAAATTTTCAACCCAAATTTGTATCTCAAATGAAGGGGACCATTGGATGAATGGGTCCCATCAACTTTTTTAAATGAGACCCACTGATCCAATAGTTCCCCTTCATTTGAGATGCAAATTTGGGTTACAGATTTGAGTATAAAATGCAAAAATTAGGTTATAATTGATTGAAGCTATTTTTTCTAGTATCGTAAACTCAACCGTTCTCACATAATCTTCAAGTGGGTTGTGGTCATTATTGCTGGCAATGAGCAAATCAAAAGACAATCATTCACCAGCAAACAAACTAGGAATAGAAGAAAGAACAGTACCATCTCGCTCTCTCTTTTTGTTTGGTTCAACGGTCAGAGGTGTCCAGATTAACTTACATACACCTCGACTAATCCCCTCCTCGATCCGATCAAGGACAGACCATCGCCAGGTAACCGTAGAAAATGGACTTAAAAGCTCCCTGTGTTAAGAAACCCATCTTTTGATGTTAACATTTTCATTTCACTTCACTTCACAAACAGATGGTGGTTGTATCCAATATATGGATATGGACATGGTGATCAAAGAGCAAATTACTAGAACCAGACACCGTGAAGAGATTTTAAAGGTAAAACCGATGCTGCCTGATCAAGTAAATCACAAATCTAAACAGAAGTCTAAGAATGTAACACACCTGATAATGAAGGATCAATTTCCAAATCGATCGAGATAGATGTGAAGACGAGGGAAACTTTGTTGGACAAAGGACAACTGCTTTCTAATTTGCTTGCTATTATCGCGCTCCAAAACAATTTAGTAGAATATTCTTCACACTGGACCTTCCAGCATTCATAATTCCCAAGTTATTAGCATATGGAAAGATGAAAACAACTCATTACGCTGAATTACTATATTTAGTTAACTGCACAACATCTCCCACAGCATTGAAAGTACCAGCATGCACATTGTTCAAGACAAAAACTAAGAAGAAAACGGTCTATGTTGTCGGATATACAAAAACCAAAGCAAAAGGCACAGAACTATTGCAAGCTTTGGTGCTTCAATTAAAGTCAAATCACAGGATTTTAAAATGGAAATCAGAATGGAGTTTATACCAGTTCCCTCCAAATATAGCAACCTGGCAGCATGATCAAACCATCCAACAGAGTACCACTTGTTCAAAATTGTTAACACCAGATTATCCTGCTCTAAATGACCTAGAACATGTCCACAATTCTCTACCACTTCAGCAGGCCCATACTATCGGAGCTGTTCGGTAAAACATTCTTCATTACTCCAAACCAGCTTACATTGTGGACCAAACAAAAGCTTCAATCTCTACAGCAATGAGGAACAAAAAGCAGATTAAAATACTTCTATAATAGCAATAAACACAAGGTCCAACCAGGAATGCTTACTGACAAACTATAAGTAGTAAAACATGACAATTTCATCTAAAATTTAACACACTACAAAAAACACTCCATCAAAGGTGGACGCCAAATGCGAGACTCATGCAACAACAATACCAGCATGAAACATATAGATATTAAAAACATTAACCAGTTCCCGAGATTGTTAGTTGTATACATTACCTGTGACATCCAAAATGAAATGAAAGACAAGCATATTGACTCAGAATGCATTGTGGAAGAGCTCTGGGATCGAACCAAGACTCCAATTCAAAGCCGACATTTCCTCTCTCTTTACAGACACAACATGCATGTATGCATGTATTTTTTTGACTTGAAGAAAGAGCAGAGTCACGAGAAAGCATAACAGCAGCAGAAAATCATAATTTACAAGAAGATAACAGATTATATAATCTCAATTTTTTAAGCACAATGCTTACATGCGTCACAAGAATGGCAATTTTAACAAAAAGCATAATGAATACATATCAAACAAAAATGGAGTGGACTACAAATTCTAATCTGTTGGTCCATAAAGTAGAGGGTCCTCTGCCAGATTGAAGATTGTCACAAGGGTTCCGGCCGGGCAACTTTATGGTGAGGTATGTTTTCAATTGAAAAAAACTGAAGGTAACCCAATCCCAGAACCTTAGACAACTCCATGCATGACAAGTTTGGATGCATTTTAAAAACCTATTAGGACACAGCCATACAGGGATCCTTGTGGTTCATGTCTCTGAAACTGTCGTAAATAAGAAGAAAAAAGCAAATTACCTATCTCTGGAGATTTCTAATTTCAGCCAATTCACTACTCTATGCCAACTCATGAAGAAGGCTACTTTAGTGATATTCCACAGGAAATGGTGCATCTCGAGTGTGACAGACATTTAGAACGAAGAGAATGATAATTGCTTGTTGGGGAATATGGACAAAAGGGAATAAAGGAAAGAGACATTTTCCTAAAAAAATTTTACAGTCAGCACTAGAAGGCCTCAATGAAAAAGAAGAAAACGAGGGAGCATATGATCAAAAATGTTATTTTCAATAATATTTCATCTTTAAGCTTTCCCACATTTATTGAAAGCTGTAACAAGTTAACCAAAAATACAAGTCTACCTCTGCTCCATGACTACATTGAATCCAGATCCAAATAGTCAACAACTAGAAATCCCAAAGCTCACACATCAATGGTATATTGTTTGTACAACAGTGGAGACTCTGTAATTATGATATGAATAGAGTGCTAACTAATTAACTTCCAGCAATGTTTTAATGAAAAGGCTTCATGTAGGCATGTTTTGCATATTGTAATTGAAAACCTCTACTTTGGGGGAATGGGAGGACAACTGTGCAACACATATGCTTAAGGCACAATTAGTTTCTATACTGCATTCGTAGCAGTATGGGTCCAAGTGTACGAATGTGTTATCTTTACAAATTTGTTAAGGACAACATATTTTTGCAGGAACACCCATGTTGTGTGACTAATGGTGGCAATTCTACTCAAATACTCCTAGTATCAAGAAGTGACAAATTGGGCTCCAAAACATGTGCTTGCACATGGCACAAAACTACATAACCGTACTTGACCAATATAAGACAATGGAAGTGAAACTCACATTTATGTATGCGCAGAACAACATTCACCATAGTTGAATTACACCCATACACACGCATTGGCATAACAACAGCTTCTCCACTTCCCACCATTTATTTTCTCAAGTAAAAATAAGCCTAACTCTCAAAGTATCACCAATATGCTTATAAGATTCAACTTTATGCTGCTAGATTGGTACTGATGCCTTAAAATACCGAAGTGTCCTCCAGCAATATATATATATATATATATATATAGAAGAGAAGAAACATGAAGGAATAGATGTGGGGACAATAGAATTTTAAGACCAAAATAAGGCAATGATGACCAAAAAATAATGAACCTATGTCTCATAAGCCCTATTCTGAGGACATTCGCAAAATGATTTGTATCAAGACCTCAAAATTAGTCAGGTATTTTCCTTGATTATAACTCAACAACAATCTTGAAGTAAAAAAATGTCAAATATGAACCTTCTATTAATCCAATGCAGTGTTGTGTAAAGCACGCGTAGACGCTCGCCTATGCCCAAGGTGAGGCAAAGAGCACCTGAAGCGTTTAATGAGCCTAAGGCGAGCGAGGTAAGGAGCACCCAAGTCGCATGACGCATGGGTTTTTATTTCCCTTTAGTGATATACTTTGGGCTATTGATATATTGATTTTGATAGGAATTATTGATATGCATAATAACATATTAGAACTCTAAGTATAAATGTCGAATTCTAACCCTATACTTTACATGTAAACTTCACAGATCCAGTCTAATCTAACTACAAATATAAATATATAATTTAGACCATTGATCTTTTTGGTTTTCTCTTTCATCTGCATCATCCTTTCTGTTGTGTCTCTCTCTCTCTACATCTCTCTCTAATTTTTTCTTTGCTTTATGAAAATAACCCCTAATTTACTAATCAATTTTTTTTTCAAAATATAAAATTAAATCTTCTCTGTTTTGGTTCAATTAGCTCTGCATATTTTGAAATTTGTCAGAGTTCTAAGAAACTAGTCTTGGTTCTAGTATCCCTCACTTTTTCTTCTTCTTTTCAACTACGTTTAGCAATCTTTTTATAGCTTTTTAATGAAATCTAATGTTGAAATCGGTTATGTTAATACTTATTAAATTAGTTGAGTGTGACAAAATATTGTTGATATTTAATGTAATTGGTCAAAGTCAATGTTGCAAGTTGATTGATTTTGCGAGGAATCTCTTGTAGTACTTTGTTCTATGTTATTGAAATTAGCTACAATGAGTTTTTTTTTTTTTTGACACAAGTAATAGATAATATGTAAAGATGTACATTGAGTGGTAGCTATTGTATTTGCATAGAATTAGATCTTGTTTGCAGAATATTATCGAATTCTGAAGTTGCGATGAAACTATATAGGTTATATTTGCCTCAAATTTTCTGAAGTTAATTACATTCAATTGCATTTGTGGCAAAATTTATACATCTTTAAATATTATCTACAACTTGTCCTGCTTCGATGAAGCCCATACTTTGCCTCGCGCCTAGGCACAGGAGACCTTAGGTCTCCAAGTGCTTTTTGCCTTAAATAACACCGATCAAATGATCACAAGTTTTCTTCAAATTCATATCATGTAATGACCTATAGATCACACTACCCAATGGGAATGATGACATCTACTCTAGCAATAGCTGCTCATTTGTATTTGAAAACTCTAAATTTACCACCCAACATATGCCCCCAAGCATTGCCAACATGACATATTATGCCCATATATCATCCAATCCATTAAATAGACTTATTTTACATATCTTCTCCTCCACATTTGTCCATCCAAGGGGTTTCACTTTTAAAACAAAATCTCATATACATTCTTCTAAGATGTACTTTCAATGGCTTAGCACTTGGCATATTTGTTCCGAATCAGACCAACAATCAAGACTCATTGCTATGTCATGAGCTCTGTCAGTTTTGCGTCGAATTCCCTCGTTTAGGCACCCATGCTGGATGTAATTAAGGTAAAACTAGATGGTTATCTACGGGTATAAGATTTTCAAAGATTGTTTCTAATATGAATACACAATTCCTATGGTCTTTCTACATTTACAAGCTATTAACAATCAGTTTATATTCTTTATAAATGCATCAGACAATTTCACAGTGACAAAACAATCACCAATTCCATGATATCCTACTCAGAATGGATTGAGGCCAGTGATATTTGTTCCGGATCGGACCAACAATCAAGACTCATTGCTATGCCATGAGCTCTATCAGTTTTACGCCGAATTCCATCATTTAGGCCCTCAAAATCCCTTTTTTTTCCATTTTAGGAAAGAATTCGAATAATTAATAATAAATCATAAAAGAGTCTAAATTAAGCGCTGTCACTTTTTTTAAACTCTAGAAAAAACGTACTTTATTTTAATCAGCTAGATTGAAATTTTCTATTTTTTAATAATTTTCATGTAATTTTATATTTTTTTATAATTTTTAAATAATTGGGGATCATGTAGAATATGTGGCAGAAATGGCTTGGACTCCGAATAGATTGAGACCAATGGTTTTCGATCCGGATCGGTGCAACGATCAAGACTCACGGCTATGCCCTAATTCTGAGTTTGTGCCAAATTCCATCGTTTAGACCAAAGCCTCGTTTTTCCCATTTTTGGAAAAAAATTGAAAATTAATAATAAATTGTAGGAAATTCCGAATTCAATTTTCACTTAGTCATAGATAGATATAGACAACAATGAGTAAGAAATACTTTTCAATTTCCACTTGATTAACAAATTATCAATATATTTGCACACATTTCATACAAACTCCAACACTGTACTTTGTTAGAACATCTTGACTTGCAAATAAGTCTTGCAATATCTGTCAAACTTTAGGTTTTCACAAATTACCATTCCCTTTGATTGGTGTATTACCAATATTTGCATTACTTTCTTCGAACACTAAGACATGCTAATATGCAACAGGCTTAACTTAAATAATATTCCTATGTTATTGAATGAACATAACCTATAAAGATAAGAACAGAGAACATACATGAAGATCAAGCATCAACACTCTCCCCCCCACCGAACGGATCATGAGAAGGGCCAGCATCATTCCCGATGTGGCGTTGCACCAAACGCTGCAAATCAGCCATAACCTTCTGCTCACGCTTTGCTTTCTCCTCATAGTTGAACATTGCCAAAGCTCGCTTGTCCTCGGCACTGTAAACCTGGTTTTCCTTTCTGATACGAATAGCATTCATCCTCTGATGCCTACTACCACTCATTACATACCCAAGGCTCTCAAACTTCGAAATCTCATCAGCTGAAAGACCCACTTCACCTCTACGTGGAATACGCTTCCCTTGCTGAACATACTGAGCAATGGCATCACCTTCACCAGGCCTAAGTGCCCCACCATAGCTAATATGTCCTTCAGCCCTCGGCAATGGCACTGGCCCAACCATCGGTTCATTATCCATAGTAGCTTTCTTCCGCGACTCAATCATCTCTTTAAACATAAAGAGCTCGCTGTCAAATTCATTGGTCTTCACCTCATCATCATTCTCCTTACTTTTTGCATCTACTTCACCATCGGAACTCTCATTCAAATCACTCTTGCTCTTGCTGCGCTTTGACAGCGAAGAGGATGAGCGTTTCAGCTTCTTTGATCTTACACCATCCTCGGATAATTGACTAGCATCAGAAACCTCAGTTTCACTCTGTTCACTTTCACTTTCATCCGAATAACTATCCCTACCCTTCCTTCTACTACTACTACTACTTTTTCTCTTACCGCTACTCCTGTTGCTCTTGCTTCGCCTGCTTGGCCGTCTCTTGGACTTCCTCTTTCGGCTCCTCCTAACTTCTTGTTCAGAGTCAACAGCACCCGACTCATCTGATTCACTCTCACTTTCAGATACAAATTTCCTACTTCTACCCCTAGAACTCGATTTCTTGCTCTTCCTCTTTTTCCTCGATCGCGAATCATCTGATTCAGATTCTGAAACATCCTCCTCAGAGTCATTATCGGACAAGCGACCAGTGGAGTTTTTCGATTTCGCTTTCAATTTTGCAGCTCTTTCTTTCTCTTGTTCACTGGAGTCACTTTTTTCTTTTTGTTCAGCAATTTCATCTGGTTTTAGTTCGTCCCGCTCGTTGTCGTACCTAGGAGGACTAGGTGTGCAATTCCATATACAATTTTTAAGCATCTTTCTCAATTTCTGGCGTTTAAGCCTCCGGTACTCTTCGAAGCTCAGGCCTCTCAACTCTTCGTCCGATTCCGACTCCACAATTTTACCATTTCTATGATCGCGATCGAGGAACGGTTTGTAGAGATCAGAATTGTTCAATTTACGCTCGGATTTAAAGTCTTCGTATCTAGGGCTTCCTCTAGGATTTGAGTAACCAGGGGAATAAGATCGCCTATCACGGCGTTGATTGGAATAGCGGTCATCGTACCTTATGTAGCCGTTGGCTGGGCTGCGACTACGACTCCGACTCCGGTGGAAACTGGGACTGCGACTACGGCTTCGGCTGAAACTTCGACCGCCGCTCGCTCTTCTGTTGAAACTGCTACTACGACGATGACGACGGTCACGGTATCTGTCGTTTTCCTGTGAATAGCGGCCATTTTCTTTGTGGGTGCGACGTCCACCGTCGGGAATTTCTATCGCGGAAGAAAGCTTGCCCATTGGGACCAGACGTTGTAACGAGTGAAGGATTCTGCTCCTTCTTTTATCTGGTTTTTTATTTGAGAGAATTGCACTTCATATCTTAAAATATTGGGAGAATTACACTCAGACCCTTAACATTTATTATTTAATCATTCAAACCTCTGACATTTGAAATATTATACACAAATCTCCTAAAATTTGTACACATGTAACATTTAGACTCTTTCTACAAATATATCAGCTAATAAATTATACTCAAATCCCCTAAAGTTTATAAATATATATTATTTAGACTTTTTTAGTTTAAAATGTTATACTTAGATTAAAAATACTTCAATCAAAGATAAAATATCAAATATTTTAAATTTTATAATTAAAATTCATGTTCTATTATATCATTTATTTAAATAAAATCAAAAATAAAAATTCAATTTTTTCTTAAAAAATCGAAATTAATAAACAATTATATTATCTATTGAAATTTAATTTGGTCATTTAAACGATCAAATTAAAATACCAAACTACCTCAATTAAAGTTAAAAGATATTGTGTCCATTACAATTTGACTCATTGTTCAATTTTTTTTTTATTCTAATAGATAGTATAATTATACACTACCTATGGTTTTTTTTTTTAATAATTAGATTTTTATTTTTGATTTTATTTCAATAAATGACATAATAGAATATGAATTTTTGATGTAAAATTCTTGTTTTATTATGAATGACTTAGACCCCTTGTTTGGTTTTTTTAGTTTTATTCCAGTAGATAATATAATTGTATACTAATTACAATTTTTTAAGAAAAAATTAAATTTTTATTTTTAATTTTATTTCAATAAATGATACAATAGAATATGAATTTTGATTGTAAAATTTAAAATATTTGATATTTTATCTTTGATTAGAATATTTTTGGTCTAAGTATAATATTTTAAACTTAAGGGATCTAAATATTATATATCTATAAACTTAAGGAGACTGTAAGTGTAGTTTATTAGTAGATATATTTACAGTAGGGATATAAGTGTTACGCACGTATAATTTTTAAGGGTCTGTATATAATATTTTAAATAAAGTAATGATAGATGAACTTAAAAACTAGACTTAAAAATTAGACTTGATAATCTCAATCATTAAATAGGTAGTGGGTCTCAATAAATACTGGGACCCATAGTGAAATCAATGGTTGAGATTATCAAGTCTAGTTTTTAAATTTACTTTTTAAGTCTATGTAACATTACTCTTTTAAATATCAGATATCTAAATGATTAAGTGACAATTTTCAGGGTCTAAGTATAATTCTTCCTAAAATATTTTAAAATTTTCAATTTTCACCCTAACTTTTATATTATACCCAAAAAATAGATTTCTTGGATCCCATTATTTATTTTACCGGAATGGGACAGAAGGTCCAAATTGATTCAAAGTTAAAGTTACATGTTGATCATTTGAACAAGCATACCCCTGCAACCAAATACCAATCTCCTTCTTCACCTATTGCAAAGTAAGTCCAAAAATCGAATGATTTGAAGGGTGTGTGTGCACGCATTTGTTTTTTTTTTCTTGGTCATTGGTTGTTAATTACTAGTAAGTGCAAAATGAGTCGTTAGAGTATAGCACAAGGCAGGATGATTGTATTCTTTAAAACAATTAGTTAATACCACGTATGTTGCACGTGAATTATTTTAAGGATAAAATATTGTATACTAAGGATGTGAACTAATTTTTCCTAACCAAATTGCCAGCATACACAAGTGAAGGTGAGCATGAGTTTTGGCATTTATTTCATTCAAGGGCTATCTCCATTTTGTGAATGTAATCAACTGAAAGTAAAAGATTCCTATTGAACAACACAGGAGGAGTTATCACTTTACTGTTGACATATGAAAAAAATGATTTATTACAGTAACTTTTCTTTCTGCTTCTTCCTTTTTCTTTTTTGTCTTCAATTGTTCTCGTTGTAAGGACTTTTTCATTAGTGAATTACAGTGGGCTGAAGTCCAGAGTAAAAAAAAAAAATTATCACTTTCATACAAGACAATCAGTACCAACCTACTAAATCACTAATCATTAGCCTAATTTTTTAAAGCCCTTAAGGCTTAAGCCTCAATAATCATGGAAAGAAAGAGTTTTTTAAGGTTTTCTATTCCTATTTTGATCGAAATATAGAGGGGGATTACGCAGGGGCGGAGAGATAGTTGAGCCAGGGTGGGCAAGTGTCCCCCTCAAAAAAATATTTTTTTATTAGTAAGGTATATGTATTATATATTTATATAATATCTTATATGTGCCCCCTCATTTATATTAGGCCCACATTATTACCCAAAAAAATTAAAAAATTTAACTCATTTAAAACAAAAAAATTTGAGTCCAAAATTATGAATTGAATACTTTTATGTATTTGTACTTGTATTTGTTTCCTAATACAATATTTGTTTTCTAATGCATTTGTACTTGTATTTTTAATACTTTAATACTTTATCTCCTTGATCACATATTCAGACGTTATTTGAGTTGTTTTCTCTGATTTTTTGTTGATTATTTTTTAACTAGAATAGTAGAATCATTATTGTCTTGTTGATTTATTTCTCTGGTTTATTTCTCTAATTTTTAGTCATTCTCTACTTTATTAGGATAGACATTCAAGAACGAACAAGAGTAAAAATAATTTTTTTGTTCTTTAAAAAGAAAAGTGGAGAAGAAACATCAAATTCTACTCTTGAACGTTTGAGTCTAGTAGAAACATCAACAAGTGTTGATGTTCCTATTATTCCCATGACTGTTGAACCTCAAGGTCCTCAACCTCAAACAAAAGTTCCAAGGATTCCTTTTGATGAGAATGAACTTGAACGAGATCCCGCATTACGTATATGTTTATGAGTTTACATTTGTATTTTGTTAGTAACTTAGTCGTATAAATGCTTAACTTAGCCTGAGATAAACAAAAATCCTGGCTCCGCCCTTGTCTATGAGTACGGCCATTAATAAGAAATTGGTGAGAATTATTGATCTTACAATTAAAAATTTTTTAAAAATATTAGGGATTTTAAAGAATATTGTATGTCATACTAAAAAAAATTATTTTGTGTTTTTTTTTGTTTAAGAAAAATACAAATTAATTTTACTATTTTCGTAATTTTGTCTCGAATCTTAGTCTATTTTTTCATTCGAATACTCAATTTTTTGTCAATATCAACTACCGAATTATTTTTAGTTATATTTGGTCCACTCATTTGGATTCCTAGCTCCCCCCTAATTACTATGAAACTCGAATAACACTAAACAAAAAGCTAACTAGTTGACATTTATATATATATATATATATATATATATGTGGTAGGTGTGCATGTATATATATCTCTATATATATATAGTCAGCTGGACATTTTTCAACTTTCATAGTTAAATGGATAAGTTTAATTACATGTCCATTTCTGTAACTTAAATTTATGCAAGTTTGTGTGGAGTTACACTTTCAGAGGTTTGGTAAACCCATTTGTTTATGTCCTCAATCTAGGTATTTTTTGCCTATGATGAATCCAATAATTTAATTGGTTGAATATTTTCAACGAAAATTACAATCAATCTAAGTCCTAAGGTTACATGTAAGCGTTTTACACTTACTTTACCGAACGAAATGGACGCGTGCACACACACACACAACATAGTTGAGAGACAACCATACATGTTGATCGTGTGGAGTTACACCTTCAAAAGTTTGGTAAACCCTATTTGTTTATGTCTAGGGGCGGAGGCAGGGTGGGGGCAGTAGGGGCAATTGCCCCCACTGAAATTCTGAAAATTTATAGGGTTAATTTAAAATTGTAATAAAAATAATTTTTTTAATAACTTGTCCCCACTCATTTTTTTTTAATGCACTAAAAATTTAGATTCAAAGGTTCGCTAATAGAGACTTAATCTCACAATTTTTTATTTAATCTTTAATTATCTTTATTCCTTCTACAATGACTTACTTAAGTTACTGAATCAATCCTTCTCCGAATTCGATTACTAAGACATAGATATATATTTTTGACCAATTATGTAAGTTCAAATATACTTCATCATTTTGTAAGATTTTAGATTTAGGCACATAAAAAAATTTGATCTAATTATGATTTAATTCAATTTACTTCGATTCAATTTGATATGCATACACAAATATGTATATGTAAACATTTGATAAAACTAAACAATTAAATTGAATTTAAATTACAATGCGACACACACACATATATAAGATTGGATTTTTGACAAAATTCATAATATTTAGTAGATTCGAATATGGATTAAAAAAACGAAATCAGTTGAACAATTAGATTAGATTCAAAATAGGGTTTTCAAGACAAATTGTCATTCAGATGAGTCAAAATCTTATCATTGACAAACACACTCACAAAATGATATGTCAAAATAGCATTATCTATGAAAATTGTCTTTATTCTAATGCTTTAAAAAAAATTGTATTAGTTTTTCATAGTCGGCTATCATTTTTTCACGTGTATTTATATATGAAATCTTTGAAAGTAAACAAAATAATATGAAGAATTATTTTATAAAAGGTGTTAGATTAGGAAATTTTTTTTATAGAGAATGAAATTTTGAAATAATAAATATGTTCACTAAATGCAATGAATTTTGATAATTGTTGAGTAATCATTCTCTTTAACTTGATGGTTGCCTCCACTGAAAAAAAATTCTGGCTCCGCCCCTGTTTATGTCCTCAATCCAGGCATTTTCTGCCTATGATGAATCCAATAATTTTATTGGTTGAATATTTCCAAGGAAAATTACAATCAATCAAAGTCCTGAGGTTACATGTAAGCGCTTTACACTTACTTTACCTAACAAAATAGACGCGTGCACACACACACACACACACAATTGAAAGACAACCATTCATGTTTATCGTGTGGAGTTACACCTTCAGAGGATTAGTAAACCCTATTTGTTTATGTCCTCAATCCAGGCATTTTCTGCCTATGATGAATCCAATGATTTAATTTGTTGAATATTTCCAAGGAAAATT